AGAGATTTAAAATATTTTGCAAAAAACACTCTGTTGTATAGGTGTATGAATAAAATATGTCAATTCTGGCCAATTTTTACACTGGTCACATGAAAATATGCCATTAACGTGAAGTAAGTGATGACGCGGCATTAGTGATGTTGTATATACCTCGGTATCACTCACTTCAAGTAATAAATTTCTGAAGAGTGAACAATTTTGTTAAAACTAGGTGTACGAGTTTATAGCGCTTCTATACTGAAACGGTCTATGTTGTGCATAAAGTGATTTGATTATAACTTAAAGTGGGTGTACTTATCAACTATTTTTAATATTTTCATAAGAGAACAATCAACATTATAATGTACCAAATTGTAGCTTGGAAACATTAAGAAAACCTCTTAGCGAATCATTTTTATAAAAGAAATTGTGAACATAGATCGAATGGGCTGGCTTTGACCACAATCAGAACATAAACTGAGGCTTGCATAAAACAATTGTTTATTTACAAAATTCCTAAAGCAAATTTTTGTATCGGTTAATTCAACTCAAATGAAGATTGCAGCATTAACAAAAATTATGTTGTACAAGAAACAGATCATTGTATTCGAATTGAAATTTTCTTTCATTATAGCATTAATGTTCATAATGATCTACTTTTAAATTAGATAAGTTATTTTTAATGAATGAATATTGTTATCTAAACCCGTGACATGTTCTTCTGTTAAACCAATTTCTTAAAATATATGCATAACTAAATCTTTATTTATGTTACTCTCTTCTTCGAAAGAGTGCATTGATTCAAGGCATCGATAAACGAGTGATATTTACATATCAGTGTTGTTTCTGTTCATTAGTTTACATCTTAGCATAATTCAAAGCAACATACTGACATAGAAGTTTTACCAGATTTTGAGGTAATATTGATTTAAACTTATAAATATACTGTTATGGACAATTTTGTAATCACAAGTTATATGGGAATTTTATAATGAATAATTCTAACACGACCCACATTTTTTTCCTTTTAGGCCACTAAAGTTATGAGTATATGTAGCTTGACATCAAACAAATTGCAACACAAGCTTTTTTTAGTATTTTGCAATCAATATATATGCATGGACCTTGTAGTAAAACCCTAAAAAAATATACCTTCGGAAACTTGACTTATGGCAGGTAGTTTAAGAGTACCTGTCCAGGGATAAAAATCGTAATATAATATCGTTATAATGTTTAATATATGGCGATTGTCTTGTCTTTCTCTGTTATAGATTGGTAGTTTTTTAGCCAGTATGTATTTGGTGTTCATAAAAATAGAATTTGCAATGAATAATAACAGGTTTGGCCTTTTTTTACTATTTATTCACTTGTGACACACACGATTATTACCCCACCCACTCATAATAATAATGCAAAACGTTCAAATTGCATTATCTTAAAATACCTAATATTTAAAATTAAAAAGAGGTTCAAATAATATTTATATCACATAAGCTTATATATATAAAGAAACTTAATCACTTGATACATTTTAAAAGCAAAATGTAACATACGTTACATCAATTACATTGACATTAATCTAGCATTTTTTAACTATTGTTGAAAGATTTATGAAAATAAAGAGAACAAACTCGGTTATTTTTCCTAAAATCCGTAGGAACAAACACTGCACCTGGTAATATACTCAACTTCTGAAAGTAACTCATTACAATTATTGTCTTTTGCTGTGTTATTTAACGTATTTGTACGTTACCAAAGTCTCATTCATCCAAATTATGAAATATCACCCAAAAATGTTATGCAAACTATCAGTCTTAACATTATTTAGTAGAAATAACTACATTTATCATCGCAAGTATTGTCCAACTATCTATATTGCAAAACACTTAAGTAAATTAAGAATAAATCTTCGTTTATAAAGCTGAAAATGAGCTGTAGTAATGTCTATAGTAATGGTTCAAAATTAGAATTTTATATCATTAATATGTACAAAATGTCAATTTTATGTCATGTATCATTTAGGTTGCTTTAAAAAAAAGTTCACCTTTGAATGCAATCACATCTTGTTTAACCTATTTATGTTTTCTTTCTTATTATAAAAAGAGATATAAGAGTAATTTCCACGTCTCTATGTCTCTCATAATGCTCATTAGTTCGACTACACCTAGTCACCTTAAAAAAATGTTATCCTTCCAATAACTTTCAAAGTATTGTATAGTGGTTAAAAAGCCATCTCCTGCTGTTTTCGATGGTCTTTTTCACTAGATTTGCAAGTCGTGTGTTTGCACTTTTTATGAAAAGAACGTCTTGAAATGTTACTGTTACTGTTAAAACAATGGTGGTTACGTATTTTAGCTGTCAGGAAGCCTTTTACGCCTTTGATTCTTCCTAGGACCTTACTTCACGCTTAAAGTGTCTTGTTTTACACAAAGACTTGATCAAAGCCTTCAACTTTACTGACAACATCGCCACGAAGTTTATGTTCTTTCTGCAACTTACACAGTTATTGTCTTAAATAAATATACGTTCAACAACAGTTTCTGAACTTCTAATCATATTATGGTCTCTTGTAGTTTTCTCTTCTTGTCGTAATCATAACAATACTCTTTTCTAATATTTCGGCTTTACATCCAGTCATCTAAAATGGAATAAAAAAAAAAGAGATAACGAAAAATAATACTATTCATCATATGAATAAAAAGAAATAAATTTACTCAAAAAGTGGAGTCCTCTTCAGAGAAATGCATAAATTTGGGTGCACTATAGAGCAAAACGTATGTTCAACGTCAAATACAGCTTTCTTGATCACAGACTCAATCAAACCATATCTGCAATTTTCAGTAAATTTGCTGTTTTAATTGCTTCGGAGGGATCACTTTTTTAACCAGATATTTTTACATCACAACAGCAGATGTGAAGCGCTGTGTGTCAGCCGTAAAATGTTGCCACGTACTTCACTTCAGTGTTGTTATATTTTTCTGGTCTTTCGGGATCATTGAATCCAGCACTTTTAAGTGTTAAGAATTTAGTACCGCTCAATTGAATCCGGTGCTAGGGGGCATGAGGGTTGTTGCACTTTTTCATTATATTATCCCTAATATACAGACTCAATTAAACCGGCTCTGCAATTTCCATGTAAATTTGCATTTTTTAATGCATCTGAGGGATATTTACCAGATATTTAAATAACATCTGTAACTGTTATTGACAATAGAAACCGAATTAAATAAAAGGAGGCATTTCCCCTGTGGCCAAATGGTTGTAGGTATGACATGGCTTTCATTTTTGGCTTATCAAACAAAGCACCCGAACTATTTACAGGGCCTTTTTACCTTCTATAACAGGGGCTGGTATAGGGCTGCTTCCCCAAAGAAAATTTCTTTAAAATCATGCAGTTTTCCCAAATAATTGAATTTACATCAAGTTTTTTCTTCCCCTTTTGCAAATATACCATGTACATGTAATTTTCCCCAAAATTAAGGGCTGGGCTGCTTCCCCAACCTGTGAAAAAAGCCCTGATTTTTCAATCACTCTTAATATCCATATAAATGAGTTATCTTTCGTTTAGGCCAATACTTTCAATATGATTCACACCATATGTTGTAGTTTTCATAAATAAAGGACGGACAGCATAAGGAAAGAAAAGCAAACAGATAGATATACCCTAAAGAGAGGCAGATGTTCTACACAAGTTAATAGTATCCCAGAATCAAGTTTTACAACTTTTTGGTAAAGACAAAAAACAGAGAGCCAGACTGACAGAAAGGCAGACGGTGTAGATGGACATACAGATATCCATATTAGCACAAACATCATCATTAAACTCATTACGTTTGTATGGAACTATCTTATCGTCATGTGTTTGTAAAATTGTACAACAAATTTAACACTCAAAAATGGGGATCAATTACCACTGGCAAAGCAACAGGTTACTCCGAATATAGTTCCTCATCAATATTTGGAGCATAATTAAGTTAAACCAGAGACATAGATAACATGTTATCAATGTCTCTGGTTAAACCATTGAGCTCAACAAGTTCAACAATTTGAACTGCTTACTGTGACTGTAGAATAATTTTTCTCCATTTATTGGAATCACAATGTTGAAATTACATAATAATTGTACATTCTGTATCTGTTTTTGACTCCTCTGACATCCCATATACCAGTCCTATGTAAAAACGATAATTACATCACGATAAGTATAACCTTTCAATTCCTGTCTTCCAAGGGTAATTAAAATGAAAACTTAGTATGAATCATACTTAACGACATTTTTATACCAAAACTTATAATCTGTTTATAAAAATCATGCATTTATGATTCTAAAATTACTAACAATGTCTTCTGTATTTCGTGCATTGTTTACCCAAACACGCTTCCGTAGTTACATTTTGAAGCTACCCAGGATAAACTTAAAATTGTTTATTTTTATTTTTCCTACTTCATAAACATCTTATTACCAAAAAGAAATGTTAATATATAGGCTAATGATTACTTATATCTCATGAAAATTGAAAAATCTTTACTGTTTTAAACGACAAACGCTGATGATTATACACGCGAAAACCCATTACAATTCATTTATTGTATAAGATATCTGGGCATGTACGAGGCTAAAAGTTGTAAAAACAAGTAAATATAATATAAAAAAATTTATACATACTTCGCACAACAGCTTCTAAATCCAACTCCATGTAGTAAATGTGTTTATTTTGATTTATTTAAATCACGCGGCCTCATAACTTTTGTTTACCTCGACACCGGTTACAGTATAAACTCTGTGTATGGTGTACATGCAGAGCCATATAAAAACTCGAAACAAATGCAAAATTTGAATTGCTTTTTTTACTGGTTTGCCATGGTTAGATTTTTTTAGGGTTTTGACCTGTTTTATATGATGTGTATTACAGACTAATTTTGTAAAAAAAGCTTGTGTTGCAATTTGTTTGACGTTAAATTTTACTTTAATCGGACTATTTCTGAACATATAAAGTGTATTAATATTGATGTTTTGGGGGTATCCATCATATAAGAACGCAATAATATTCACCAGAAGATATTGTATAAAACTTAACTTTTTTAGAAGTACAAATGTATACATGCCATATTTATTTGGAAACGCGACAATATGGTCATACATGTTTACTGATAAACACAGCAAAATACACTCTTTTCTAAGATTAGTTATCAAATTATTCGTCATACGATAATTATTGTATGAATATTTATAACAATTCAGATATACATGTATAATGTCATAAACAAAAGTTGAATGATTTATTCATTCAGTAATTGACAAGTACTCCACTGAATGTGTTCATCCTATAATAGTCTTGTCTTAAGGAGCGGCTAGTATCTGACGTTGTTGGTTTGACCCAAACTTTTTCTCCTGATTTTACTCTCACTATTGCCCCAAAAGTACTACAGGTGTAAAAATCCCCATCATAGTTTGAATCTGCTGCAATAACTTTACCGTCTAATAATAGGCCAATAAAAGCATAGTTTCCAACCTGAAGACATATATGCACAGAAAACTGGTACAGTCCTCCAACAGGGGCACTAAATATTCCAGTAGAAGTGTCGTAACCTTTTCCCTCGTTAATTACACTTTTTGTAAATATAATAATCTCATTTGTTGAAGGAGACAAATTTGCCACGTGATGTGTATGGAAAGCGATCGGAGGACGTTCAAGTTTTCCTAAGAATAACAGAAATTGTGATATTTTAGAGTTATTTTAAAAACTTGTATGTAAAATAAAGATGATGTTATGTATTCAAAATAAGAAATTATCCTGTAATTGAATCTGTTGAGCGATAATGGGAAGGACTAGTTTATAGTTATATGAACAGGTTAAACTGATTATTGATAAAATATTGTAATGCACTTCAAAAAAGCAAAGGAATCCTAAAACAAACCGAATCATGAAATCTAAACACAGTTTTGGAAAGAAATTATCACGTGGAAGTGATATGAGAAACAATACCTTGAAGTTGAATAAGTTCTTCTCTTTTAGCTTCCATGTCACTCGTGAGGTTTGTTCTTGTCTCCTCAAATAATTTCTGCAAGGATTCTGTAAAAATGTATCAAAGTACAATAACTTACCGTAATAAAATTTAATAAGTATTATAAATGTTGTTATGTACACATATGAATTATATGCAAAAAACTGTTGCCTATAACACAAATCAAGTTTTCCTGAAATTAAGGGACATTCTTATATATTACAGTTATCAAAAAAAATTTGTCTGTAAAATAAAGATGATAAAATGTATTCAAAATAAGAAATTATACCTGTAATTGAATCTGTTGAACGATAGTGGGAAGAACTAGTCTATAGTTACAACAACAGGTAAGTCGAATATCAAATTAATTCAAACTGATAATTGATAAAATTTCGTACGTGAATGCACTTCAAAAGATCCAACTCAATAATAAAACCAAATGAATCATAAAATCAAAACAATGTTTTTGAAAGTAATCATCACATGGAAGAGAAATGCAAAATAATACCTTGTAGTTGAGTAAGTTCTTCTCTTTTAGCTTCCATGTCACTCGTGAGGTTTGTTCTTGTTTCCTCAAATAATTTCTTGAAAGATCCTGTAAAAATAATATCAAAGAACAATTACTAACGGTAATCAAAGTTCAATAAGATGTATATGTGTTATTTTGTGTACATGTGAACTGTCTGCAGAAAGTGTTGCTGATAAGATGAAACTTGATTCTAAACTAAGTTTTACATCACTGGTAGTGTAACTTCTGAAATAAAACTTAAGGGAAGAAAAACAACTTGCATTCTAATAAATATTTTGATTTTCCTCGCTCAAATTTCGATGTTCTATAGCTAACTAAATAGCCATTTCATAACATAATTCAATATAAAATAAATGTAATAAATGGTCAGGGAATATGTATTTAATAAGAAAAAGCAATGTGATGAGACAGCATTTCTTTCATGGAAATATGTTTATATTGGTATGTTCAACATAAATGTTCACTTTTATTCATTTCACATTAATATTCACTGTAATTGTTTGTATGCATCAGAAGTATACACACTGACATAAATATCGCAAACTTAATTTAAAAATACAGCAGTTCTTGGACGCACCAAAAAGAAAGAGCTAGAGATAAACACAAGGCAGAATACGGCAGAAAGGTAACAATTAACTGAAGTTTTATAAATGTTCATGCTCGTACTAGCCAAATGTTGAGCACGAGGCTGTTAATTGTCAATGAAAATTTAAAAGTGAAAATTTACCTTTTTTACTGTTGTCGTTTTATTTAAGGTTTTCTCTTTCACTTTCCCTTAATTCATTTATTGATTTATGATTATAATAATGTAGTTTTACGATGCGTGTTGTATTGAGACGGGTTAAGCAAACTGAAAATATATAAACTTTCCAGCAATATAAGTAATGCCATATTCTACTTTTATAAACATAGAAATTTTAGTTAGATAATTATGTCAGCATTGTAACCGGTGCATGAAATGTCTTCTTTTTAAAGCTTATGATTCTTTGAATGTTAAATGTTCCACGCATTTACAGATTTATCATTAAACCAATTTTCTCAATTTATATTTCATAAAGTATTACGAACTATTAAGTTATATTGATTCAGACATAAACAACACTCAGTTGTTAATTATATCCTAAAGAAATAAGTAATTTTTCGCATTACATCGGTAATATTTCAGTATACATGTATCAATTTTCTAATAATTTAGATCTGGAGTTTATATTTTACCTTCTCTCCTTTTTAGCTCGTCACTTTTCTTCAACATTTTGTCTGTTATGTTCTCCTTCATGTCTGCAAACATGTCCGTAAAATCAGCAACTGCTCGTTTAATGTCACCTAATGTACTGATGACATTATCCTCAGTTTTCTTAATTTCATTCACCATTGTTTCTACCTTTATTTCAGTTCTTATCATTTTCTCTAAAAGCTGTTCTTCATATGCAAATTTAGAACAAACAGGTTCTTTAGCCTCCAAGACATGAGAGCTATACATTCCAAAGATAATTAAAATCGCAACTAACGGTATGAAAGTCATTTTAAAAAAGTTACTACGAAATGTTTTAAAACACACTCTGAATCTCAAAACGTTATTATAACTGTTGTGTTTTATAGAAGGGAAATCTGCTGACTCTTTTGAAAAGAGTCCCATACGAAAACATTTGATTAAGGTTCTTTAGCACTTAGGATCAGGGAACGTTTAACAAACTTCAAAACAATAGCTTTAATTATTTTGTGTCGGCAACATAGAAAAATTTCGTTCTTTAAGAAATATTATTAAATAAATGATAGGATAGCATAATATCTTAATTATCATTATATAAGATTACTGTGCTGTTTATCTCCGCATTAACGGTATTGCACGGTCGTTCATAATTTGATGAGATGTCATTTGCGCTATACAAATACAGAGTAAAGGCGCGCTAAATGATAGTGTAATACTAAAAACGTGTCAATGAAAATTGCACCTTTTTATTGTTAACAGTTATTATTTTCGGTATGATGTAAAAAGAATATTTTATTCGTGTAACTTCATTACAAAGTGTATTGACCTTGTTGAATAAAATAAAATCATAATTTTATTCAATTCGTTCAATGAATTCAATATTGGATTTGCGTTGCTTGGCTGTGTTCGGGGATGCGTCCAAAACCGCCTTTCATTGTTGATCTTGTTCATCATTTGTTGAATTTACATTCAATATCCTCTAATTATTGTACAAACAAACATTCATTGCATAAATAGAGGATATTTAATGAGTGTAGTTTAATACTAAATTTATTGAACGAGTTGAATAAAATCACATTATGCGAGCCTCTGGCGAGCATAATATTGTTTTATTCAACGAGTTCAATAAATTTAGTATTGAATCTACACGAATAAAATATTCTTTTTATCACATATGTAAAATAAGAAAAGCAAACTGTTAAAATGAGTAACTTTTCAATGACGTGCCTATAGCGTAACGCTAACATTAGCGCGCTTTAACGCTATGTTTCTATATAGCGCAAATGACGTCACGTCAAAGTGTTATTACACTAGTGTAATATCGTTTTTATTAAATGGCTTTATTACACTCCTGCGCCGCGGTTTATGTGATAAAACATATTCTTGATAACAAATTAACTCATATGAAGGTCGCCAGCTTCGCTATAAATGTACGTATGTAATAAAAATAAATTATATGTGTCCTTTATCAAAATAAATGATTTTATCTTCGTACATACATTCGTTCAATATCTTCAATATTTTATGACAACTCTTTCAATGAATTCCAGCTAAACAGGAACTTGTGAGCTGTAACGCGTTTTAGAGTGGATGTATGTGGTTCTTTATAGACTTTTATAATATAAAATACACATTCGTATATATTTATTGCTTATAATGCCAACTCATCACGTGGTCGAAATTCGATTATGCATAGGCGGTACAATAAGAGAGAATAGGTTCACATGTCTGGAAACGTGACCGTTAAAACGACTGTTATGCATGCGTTTACATTGTTGAATGTTTTTGTTATATAGTATCTATAACTTTGTTACTATCTCTGAATTCGATTTATCAAACCCTTACTATTTGATTATTTGATATTCTTTAATAATAATATAATAACGTTTATTGAAATATATTAGAATTTCAATAATCTCAAACATATTACTTTGAAATTAATTAATACATGTAATTTGTAAATACTATGTAGTAATGTAATGATATTTTTTATAAGTAAAGCAACACTCTTCCCGGACCTTCTTTCAAATAGAAAACGTAAATATATAATTGTTTATAACATTTTATCTAAATTATCTAAATCATTATATTGTTTGATTATAAGAAATGTTTCTTAGTGGTTCTCGCATTAAATAAATGATAAGTTTTCTCATATCTAACGAGACACTCTGATAAAGACATTAAGGTGACAATAGGTGCCGTTATACTACAATGATAAAACCGGTAAGAATTAGATATATCAATTAAAACAACATTATAACGTACGCTATTACTTAATATACGGTGACACAGAGGGGAAATGTATGTATGTTTTTGTGTTATTTATCTCGTGGGCAGGAGATACTATATCGTGCGCACGAATAACTTAGTCGTGTACACGTGATTATTAAGTCCTGCACACGAGTTACTAAGTCCTGCGCATAAGTTAATAAACAAGTCTCGGGCATAATCTTTGGGGAATTTAATGTTCGGAAATCTTATAAAACGATTTCTGTAATGATAGTGTCTGTACAACTGAGGGGTCTGCAATTGTCACTTATGTGCTTTGTTGTTATTGCTCTCGAGAAATATCTCTTTTTCCAGATTTCGATACATATAAACTACATAATAAAGTATCGTATCAGCTCATATAGATCTTATTTCGGCTGTTCTAGTCTCTATTTCTCTTACGTAACCTTTATGCGATGAACCTTATTTATGATATTATTTTTATTTCCTTTCACAAAGACACTTAATTAAAAATCCTTGTCCAATCAATAACTTGCAAAGGAATACGCCTTGCGTTTTGTTACTTGATAGAGCCATTGCCCGTAGTCCCTTAGTGGGTAGTACTTTTAACAAAAAAAACTTTTTTTTGATTATCAATTTTAAACTTTTACAATTATTTAATGATGTCTGCACGGTAATATTATTTATACTTTATCAAAGAAATAATGACATATTCAGAGAATCTTTGAGATCTGTGTTTTTAAGCGTATGCATATATGCATGACTCACAGTCCGATAGTTCAAGGTTCTAGTTCTGATTTATAACAAAGCAAGACGAAAACCCATACAGTGTCATATTACAAAACAAGAAAAGTTGGCATATCTCTCCATTCTAGCAGAATAAAAAGAATAGATAAAATATTGAGCGTTGGAGTATTTTTTCTAGCTTCATCTGGTTTATTGTCGTCATGTCTGCGTTTCCTATTTGATGTAAAAAATGTATCTGTTGAATCGGCTAATATAAAATGGGAAGCGTGTTAGAATGATATTTAATGTATTTAGCGGGTTTATTCAGTTATTAAACGAATTTTCATATTTTCATTTATACATCTTTTGTTTAAATGATATAAAGGTTAATCAGAAAATGTTTATTGTGTACTTAATCCAAATTCACGGGTATCAAATTTTGAATATGTTAGAGAAAAAATAGCATGTAAAATGTCTGCCAGATCCCGTAGCTGTTGGTAATAATGTTATAACGATGAAAACTACTGTAATTGTTAAGGTGATATAGTATTGTATGTAACCTAGGCATGAACTTTTCTGTATTTTGTATAATTAAGAAGGGGCAAACGTCAATGTTTTCTGCTGACGTGATGATTTTTATAGCATAACGGCAATGTCTTCTATGTAATGTTATTATTACGTACTCCTATTGATTTATTTTAGACCTTGGTGTTACAAAAGGGCACGTAAACATATAAATTTTCATTATTGTAAACGAGTTAAGTCATGCGATAAAATAATATCACGTTAGTTGTCATGAAACATTTTTAATTAAACTGTCTAAGAAAATTAAATAACCCTCGCCACAAATTCGCTTTATCACAATTTGTTGAACTCGTTTAACTTTTTACCTCATAT